GTATATCCGTATGTACATACTTACATACATACATATATAAGGATTCTAGTGTATACATACCTATATGTACACAAACATTTTAAAGTGAAATGAAAGTGGCAAGGAAAGTGGTTTCGAATTGCAACACGTCATTTATGCGCTACAATTATTTGGGCTCTTTAATGGGTGAAAAAATTTAAAAAGCCGGGCCACTTCAACACTTAAATATAATATATCTCGAAAACCTATAGAAATTTTAAGTCGAATAAAGCCTAAAACATTCCTGTTTTGCATATCTAAAGTTGGGAATCTATTTTTAATAATTTTATTATTTTCTAAAGGTGGCAACTCTATTAAAGATACAAAATATTTTAAATTTTTTGACTTTCCGCAAGGTTTTTTTAAATATTTTGAACTTGGCACATATTTTATATATTTTCATTTGAATTTTATCGATAGTTGGCAACTCCGTTCCGAAATAAATAAAAATTAAAGACTTCCTAAATACAATACTTATTTGATTTTTCTCTTGATTTGTTCCAAAATATATTGTGATTTTGATTGTCGGATTAAATATTTTAAACTTGGCTATCACATGTCGCGTCGAAACCTAAATATAATATATTTCGAGAACGTTTTGAAGTTTTGAAGTCAAATAAAGCCGAAAACATTCCGCTTTTGCATATCTTATGTTTGACATCATTTTTCAAAATTTCATTTTATTTTTCGAAAGGTGGCAACTCTACTCGAAAATACAAAATATGTACAAATTTGTGGCAAGGATTTCTTAAATACTTTGAACTTGGCACATATTTTATATTATATTTATTTGAATTGTATCAAAAGATGGTAACTCTCTTTCGAAATAAATAAAAATTAAAAACTTAATTATTATTTATTCGGTTTTTCCTTGATTTGGTTGAACATGTATTGTAATTTTAATTCTTAAGAAAAGACAATTATGGTAGAAAACCATTCTCATATATCGGGTACCAAAAGAGCTTTCAAACAAAGTGTAGAAAAATACGAAAAGATTTATAGGTGGCAACGCTACTCTCAAACATGTTCAAATTTATGACTTTCCGATTTCAGGAAGGATTTTTTTAATGTTTCTATTGTAATTTTCCCACACTTTGCCTTATTTTCATTTGAATTTTATCGATAGTTGGCAACACTGTTCCTAACTAAGTGAAAATAAAACACTTTCAAATTGCTATTATGATTACTTCAAATTGATTAAACGAAATTTAGAACAGACAAAAATTCTTATATCTCGACAACCAAGAGAGTTTTCAAGAGAAAATGTAGGCAGAGACATATTTCCCTCGAAATTGAGGCCTATTTTCGTCTTTTATTTGCCCTTAAAAACGAATTTTAAATAAATTTAAGTATAATATTCTATAAAAAAGGGTTGTAAGCAACAGTTTTTAATTAACAACAACAACTGATTTATGCAAAAAAGTTATTTACGTATACATAGGGTATTTGCTATAAACCTGGCTTACATTCATGTTGATTTAGCTACGAACTTTGATGGAATTAAATATACATGCAATTTATTTTGAAGAAATTCCAATTATATATGAGTATGTAACACAGTAGTCTCAAGTTAACTCAATTAACCTGCTTACTTAAATCACCGGAACGCCAAAAATACTGCTTAGTTAGGTTAGAGCAGTCTAGGATTTTCAAAAAAAAAATTGCTTGAAGTATACTTTAGGATTCTTAAAACATGATTCTGTTGATATAATAGTGAAAGATATTTATTGTCTTCTGTCTAATACGCTGAGGTGTTAAAGAGTCCGAATAAGAGCGCTTCAGCTCGTAATACTCCAAAGAAATTTTTCATTTATCAAAATGTGAAAATACAAATGTTTTTTATACACCCAAAAATATAATATTTTTCATAAAACCTCAAAGAGAGAAATTCGATTCCATTATCCTTACTCCCAGATAAAATGATCAAATTTAAGACTCTTTTCGAGCTCTTGACTGGCATAAACCTCAATATTGTAGGCAATCAAAGGACGAAAATTTAATTGGAATTCCCTTATTTGTTATGAAATTCTAATTATCTCCATTCCCTGCAGCTAAGAGAAGAAAATTCATTAAAGACGTAGGAAACCATAGCCGTGAAGTTAAAACAATATGTAAAGTTGGCCAGTGAAGCTGCTGGACATTTCTTTTATTGCAGAAATTTTTGTCAAAATGTCAATTGCAGGTTTATGAAGGTACGCATGTACGTACATACATATATGCAGATTTCAATTATGAGACAAATAAAGGGAAGTTGGTAAACATGACGCAATTATGCAAGGTGTTCTCAGAAATTGCAATAAAAGTTAAAAAAAAATTTAAAATAGAATGTGTTAGAATTAAAGAAAAAAATTTTAAAAAGTTTAGAAAAGAAATTAATACAAAAAAAAATTAAGCAGCAAAAAAAAAAAATTTTTTTTAAATAAAAAAGTTTAAACTAAAATAAAAATTAAATAAAAAAAAAATTAATAAATAAAAAATCAATAAATAAAAAATTAGCAAAATCAAAAATAAAAAATAAAAAAAATTAACAAAAAATTAAAAAAAAAATTAACAAAAAATAAAAAAAAGAAGTTAAATAAATCAAAAAAACTTCTTTTTTTAAAAGCACACTTTAAATTTGTAATTTATTTAAATTAAAAAAATTAAAATTAAAAAAAAAATACAATATGTTAAGAATTTAAAATTAGTCAAAAAGATTCAAACAAAAGGAAAATACTAAGCAAATATGTAAAAAAAATTTAGAAAATACAAATTTTAAATAAAAAAATTAAGAAAAAATTAAAAATGAACTTAAAAAAGGTGAAGTTATTAAAAAAAAAATATTTTTTATATCAAACATTTTAAATTTTTAATTGTTGAGGGCATTGGGGCATTTGGCATGTTTTTTTTTTGTTTTGTTTGCTTGCAACGCTGCAATCAGTGCAGCAATAATTATGCCATTCATTATGTAATTTTGTCCGCTTAGCATTTTAACATTTATATATTTTTTATTTGCCTGCTCATCTTGGCACTGTGCAAAACGAAAATTTATTCCGCATTTATCTCATTTTTTATGCGTCCTGCCAGCAAATACCACTTTATACCTTGCAACATGGTTTTGTGTGTAAAACTTTTTAATTTTATTTCATTTTTTCAATTATATTCTTCAACTTTTTCAGCTGCTCCTTGAGAATTTTTTCTTCACTGCAATACTTTTTACCGCATTTCCTGTGGCAATGCTCGCAGAAAAAACGCAAACCAAATCACTGCAACATGACAACGCAGTCAAATAAAATAGCGACGCTGCGCCGCAAAGATTTTACCACAAATTGTGGCATGGTCAGGTGTAATGTTGCTAATGATTTTCATTTTTTATAACTTTTTTTTTTATATGAAAATTGACGGCAACGGCAACTGACAATAATGACGCAAGCAAGTGTAAAAGAAGAAGAAATCAAAGAATGTAGTAAGAATGAGGGAATTAAAAAAAGCAAATATGTAGTAGCGCGGCATAACTGCAGTGAGCAGAAACATTTTTGTCAGTCTATCAGCCACCGAATGAAACCAAGGTAGCACTACAGTATGACACAAAAAAAAAAATCCTACAAGCAGTGTCCACTTGAGAAAATATCCTAAGGACAATAGCATCAAATGAAGTCAATCACTCAAACCATTAAACTTAATTTTGAGGACATTCTTTTCTTGTTGATGTTGCTGTCGTATTTGTGGCACAATTTCTGGCTTTCTCCAATCAGCGTTGCTGCCACCACCACACTAGCTGGCATTTTACTATATATGTACATTCCTCTAATTTTTTATCATTCACTAAAGTATTTTGCCTTTCAACGTAATTTTTCCTCAATTTCACTTTGTTGCTGACAGTTTTTTTTGGCAATCTGTTGTTTTTGTGTTGTGTTTTATGTGACATTTCATAGTGTTGGTTTGCGGCATGCAGTGAGTGTTGCAAGTGTAAGATCGATTACTTGATGTGCTGACTTAGTGTTTTTATTTCCACGTTTTTATTAGAGACTTGTGAAATATTTTTAAAACTAATTAAAATATTTCCAGAACCCGACGGCGTAATATATTCGACAGAACTAAATAGCATTGAAGAATGTTTCATTGATAAAATTTAATTTTCAGTAAAGAATTGATTACGATAACGTTGTCATAAAAACTGATAGTATTTCTCACTGCCTAGAGTTATGGATCGTTACCGATACTTATCGATACCCTCGCTGTTCCGAAAATTATCGATTATTAATAGATTTTTTAAATCGATACTTTCAATGAAATAACGCAAATATTAAAATATGCACACAAATAGTCTCTTCCAATTTTCCACTTTTTGATACCGAAGGAAAATTTCGACGTTGGTATCGTTGATATGATTACAAGTGATAGGAAATAAAGTTACCGTTTTATTTAAGCCACTTTTTTAAGGATATGTAAAATAATATAGATTAGGTTTGATTGAAAGATCAATCCAAAAAAGCGGACCTCAATAGAATAGCTGAGAACATCCCGGTACTCATACAAGTACAATACTTCGGCGAACCTGGCGAGATAACCGGAATTGATATAAGCCAGTTCAATAAATTTATGACAGGCTCAAAGCGGTTTGTCGATTTTTGACAGTCTTTTCGATCAAAACTTATTAGTATTTAGATAAAATAATATCTATCTTTCCTACATAAAAATCTTCCACTTCAAGTTCTCTAGGCTTTCCGAGGAAATTTCACATGTTATTTTGCCCATATTTTATTGTCAAGAATTACAATTAATTTTATAATGGCTGCTTTTGGCTCACTTTAGGTCAAAACTTTTGTAGCTTACTCACTAATGAAAGTTAGTAATTTTTTAATTATTTCAAATTTATGATATGTATTTATAGTTCTTAAGAAGTTACGTATATACAAAATTGTATTTAAGTACAATTTAATTTATATAGAAATATTTTGTATTAAATTTATCTAATTTTTTCATTTTTGTTTTATTTCCAGGAACCCAAATCCAAACAAGTACGTAATCTATGATTTATTTATTTTTTATTATTGTACGCCTTAAATAAATTTTCTCAATGTTTACAGTAAGTAATATTTGCACTTTAAACTCGAGTTTGTTATTTAGTTTGTTGTTTATCATTGCACTTAATTTACAAACTTGGATTTATACAGAAAAAACTTGCATCCAACTCGACTTATACTCTCATAGTTTCTTAAATAAGAACATTATTAGTAAAACAGAAAACCTTAAACTCGAGTTTATTATATATTTCAGTGTTTATCATTAAACACAATTCACAAACTCTAAGTTAGTTATATAAAATTGGAGCTAGCTCGACTTAAACTCTTGGTTTCTTAAATAAGAATATTTTTATTAAACTCAAAGACTTAAACACGAGTTTATGGCGCAACATACACCAATGCGAAACATTTATATAGTGTTTCTAATATTTTCTAATTAATAAAATATTATATTTTTGGTGAACATTGAAGTATTTATAATTAATTGTCTGCGCCTGCTCACATCTGTTCCAATGTTGAACGGTTTGTTCCGATCCGTCGTTCTGTATTATTTTTCGCTGGTTCGTTGGCATTTGGATTAATGTACTCACCCATGTATGTATGTATGTATGTTTGTATTTATATACAAGTACTTATGTGGTAGGTACAGAAATGAATGACAAAGACGCAATTTGTGGCAGATGTTTTACTTTTAATTGGTTTTTAAAGCGTCACACTACATCTGAGTGTTGTTTTCTTCTCAAAGCGGCGTATTCTTGCGAGTTCACTAACCTGCGCTTAAGAGGCAGTCACAAATTATTTATAGATTTATACATGTGCCGATACTTGTGACAGGCTTAAGGAAATTCGAGTCATTTATAAAAGCGGATATTGTTGTAAATTTATTGGTTATACCTTAGGTCTATATTTTATACAAGTATGCTTATGAAATGTAAATACATTTATGAATGAGTTTGAATATTTATTTTTCAACTTCTTCAGATCAGGATCTTCATTTCCGTTACTTTCGAAGCATTTAATTGTGCTTTGAATAAAAACTATAAAATGTTTTAAAAATATTTTGAATAGCAGCATAAAATTTATGCAATTTTTAATATTTTGAACTTTTTGTGATTTTAGTTCATAAAACTATAAAATATATAATTTTAAAACCTAGTCAACATTACTTTGTAGAGATTTCAGTCGATAGATGTTCTTAAAGTCAGTGTAGACATTTCGCAAAAAAAAAATTTTGGGTGATTTGTAATTAGACTCGACAGACTAAAACTTTTAAAGTGAGCCATAGCTAAACACAGATACGCAAACATATATAAAAAAAAAAATTTGATAATAATACAGTTAAAAAAATCATGAAAAACAACAAAAATTAGTACAGTTTTGAGAAAAAGCATCATATCTGGCATGATAGATTGTCTCTGCATGAAACCAGATTTTTCTTTAACAAAAAACTTCTTTGTTAATTTAAATAACATAATTTATTTCTTAAAAAATTATTTTTCTACATTTCAAAAAAGGTGACAACGTCAGCAAACCATTTTTTTATATTAATACTTACTTAAATTGCATTTTTCAGATGGTTTTATAGTATTGTTTATCTTTTCATAATCTAACTTGTTCGTAATGTAAATAGTGTGGCAACCTCGCCCAAATTTATACTTGAAAAAAAATTTTTGATATTAGTATTGTTATACACACAGTCGAAGTATGAGGTCTAATAGTGTTTTTAGTACAAAAAAAATTAATTAGGTGGCACCTCTACAAAATACATTTTTTGTATTAAAAGACGTTTAAAAAATTTAACTTACAATTTTATGTAGTAACTATAAAATTGTTTTTTATCTTTTATTTCTAAATAAAATACACGTGGCAACACGTTTTTTTTAAATAAAGTTTTTGAATGTATTAAAGTATTTGTAGGTACAAAGTTTGACATGTGTAATTTTGGTGTTTTTAAAAACAAAAAAAATTTTGGTTGGATGGCAACGCCGTAAAATCAATTTTATGTAACATAAATTGTCAGAAATATCTAGTTTACAATTCTATATACATAGTTCTAATTAATTTTGTATTTAAAAAATTAAGTGCATGTGGCAACGTTCTTCCTAAAATCAAGCTATTGAACATAGCAAAGGCTTTGTATGCACTTAATGTGCTGGAAATGTGTGACTCCTCGTCTTTTCGAAAATAAGAAACGTTTACAGTTTGGTGGCAACACCGCAATTTTTTTTTACAAAAATTGTTTAAAAAGTTTTACTTTCAATGTTATATAGTTTAATCAAATTTTTTTTTATTATCTATTATTTTCAAATAAAATACATGTGGCAACTATTTTTTGTATTTTTAAAAATTTTTTTTAGTTAAAAGCCTGCAAATGTGGCCAAAAATAATCATACTAAAAATTAAAAAATAATTATGTTGGGAAATTGTGAAGTTTTTTGTTACTTCCTGTCTTCGTTGTGTTAACCGTTAATTTAATTAAAATTTGCTTATGTTAAGAATTTGAGCCTTTCAAATCACACACAAACACATCCACCTGCTTACATTGTGATTGCCTTCAATTACATACATTTTGTTGTTGTGTTGTCGTTGTGCTCATTGCTGTCATTGTTTAGAGGCACTTAAAAGCGCTTAAATTGATTAATAAAAACAAATCACGACTATGTCTGCACAATTTAGCTCAACACTAACCGTCGCGGCTACCAAAGGCATATACACAAATACATATGTATATACATGAACAGTTACATACTATACGGTCATACATACATACATATATTTGCACTCACAAAAGTTGCTGCTGTGATTTTATGTGCATACATATGTATATATGCTGCTCATTTTTTTCTAGACAATTTAAATAGGAAAATGCTGTGGCATAAATCATTCAGCCATTCAAGCGCTAATCGCTCTAAATGTCGGACCATTCAATTGTACGTACATACATACTCGTGCATATGCGATAGTATGTGTTTGTACACATGCTGGTATAGCAACGGTGGTGCGCTTCTGAACTACGGTGACATGTTGCCATGCAATGCTTGGGAATCACACCAACAGCCGTTTCAACTATTATTATTTGTTGCTATCAAATATGATTATTGTGCGTTCTGCTAAATCACAAATAATTTCCACATCCTTGTTAACATTCAATTGAAATTTTCAGCTACTCTTAACATTGTCGTTGTTGTTCTTGTTGTTGGCACTCATACGCCAGTTATGCCTGTTGCTGCTGGCACATCAATTATTGCAACTGTGAATTGATTGCATGCGCTTAGTAAATGGAAATGAAAATTGTACGACGTTTCCGTAACAACAAAAAAAAATATATTCCAGCCGAGAATAATTTCAATATTTTTTTGAAAAAATAGTTAATACTAGACTCTCTGACTAACGCCGGCAATACACCACTGAGTCGGTTATACGGCATATATGCCGAAATAATCAATCCAATATATATATATTACTCTATGTCCTTGTGCACATCCTTGCGGCACTAAGCAACATACAACAATCACAACACATATCGCTACGTTGTTGCATTTCATGTGCGCTGTGCCACATCGGCGAACATGTCAAAATACCGCGAAAGCGCTGACGCAATCCAAAATGTGTTGGCTGGAGCGAGATAGTTTCGTTGCATTTGCATAATGCTGCAATCGTGGCAGCCGCAATAAGCCATCGCTATCAAGGACACTCGCTGCCTTTAAGGGCTATGCTTCTGCATATTTGCTGTAGCAATACCACAGAAATCAGTTGTACCGTTAAAATGTCACGATAGTAAGCAAGTTGCAATATTTTGCGACATATGGAATTGTGCTCTCTCTGGTTGCCATAGCAAAAAATAGTGTTTGGAGAGCAGAAAGGTCACATTTATGTCTACTTGCAGCAAAGTGTGGTACAAAATAGCGGCAACTCTTGACCTGTTCAAATTGAATTTTTTATTTCCAATTATTTTTTATCAACTTTTCGTGAAAGTAAAGAAATTAAAAAATTTTCTACGTACAAAGCAACAACAACTTTAACGGTTTCTACAAAAATTAATATCGAAATCAATTTCAGAATATTTTCAAACCCCTATCTAGCAATTTTGACAATACTCAAGCTTCTAGGGCACGCTGAACTTGTTTTCCTATTAGACCGCAATTTGTACCTTAATGATTTTGACATCCCCCAAGTCTTTAAGATATGCAGAACTTGTTTCCATATTAGACCAGAACTTGCACCTTATTTCTAATATTGATCTGGACTACATGGGCTGATTAAACCACAAAAAATCTCGAACCCGCACATTACATCAAATGTTTTGTTCTCAATGAAGATTACGTCGAAGAAAGTCATATTTCCATTCAAAATCCTTCTTCAGTGTTTGTTCTAATTTCCTTTGATATCCTTTCTTTGACGGAGAAATTTTTCTTTACGCTAGAAAAAACATTTCGGTAACCTCTTAGTTTCGAGCCTTACATTTTCGATAAACAACTACAATTTATTTCAAGTGTTAAGTTTTGAAAATCATTAAAAAAATGTATTTCTATTTTTATTTGTAATTTGATATGTGAGCCATTCACAATAATTTAAACTGGTCCAAAATATGTAAAGCAAAAGTTGTTAGTTTAGACAGCGTTTATATCACTCTCTTGTATCGAAATGAAGTCAAGAACTTTGTTGACTTTTATATGAACATTTTTCGGAAAGATAGCAAGCAGGGAAATGGCAATCCAACACAGTTGAAATACTAGTATAAGATCTTCGTTGAAACCAAGAAACAACTTATAAGCATTTGACTATTCCAAAAATGAATTCAACACTTGAAATATTAGAAAATAATGTGACAAGACTACCTTATAAGTTCTTCTATAATGATTTTAAAATAATTTAAGCAAGAGAAGTGAAGTTTATTACATTAAAGTTGTATCACAAATTCGAGTTTAAGGTACTGAGTTTATAATTGTGTGCTGTCAATTATTTTTTTTTTTGTCAAAAAAGGGTTGTGTCAT